GCATTCCAAAAAGTTGTGCCCCTCACTGACAGGGGTCATTTAGAAAGTTCAGTGGCCCAGGGGCAAATCAGGGTAAGTCGGCCGTCGGAGGGGCAAATCGCAAATTAATGCAAACTTCAGGGGCATTTCAAAAATTTTCCCTTCAAAATATCATCTTTAAAATTTTAATATGGACAAAAAAGCTTTCAGGAGAATTAAATTGTGTGTCTCCATTTGACTTTTTGAAGAAACGCTGATGGGACTGGCCTTGATACATGACCGGGGCTGAGGTCCCACTAGCGAAAGGGATTGGATTGAATGCCTGAATGTGGACGCGTTTGTGGAAAGGTGCAGAATATCGAGCTTGAACTGCTTTTCTGCATCTCTGCTTGAAACATGTCCAGATTCAGGAGCTTAATCCAATCCTCTTTGCCAGTGGGCCTGAGCTTTCGATGATCTGTCGTCATTTCAATCGCTTTCCTTCACGTTGACTTCATTGTGTTAATAATCAAATTATCCTTCGGCCTCGATTCGATTTGATTTGATTCAATTTGATTCCTTTTTTTTTTTTTTTTTTTTTTTTTTTTTCGAATCCACCTGCCTCAACATCTATGAGTGATGGTTAAAGCATACACTCCTACCTGTCTTACAGGGAGCTCCAATCCATTGGTGGGTAGCTACACCTGCTGGAAAGCGGGTCTTTGCTTTGATTTGCTTTCACTTGATTCAATTTGATTCAATTTGATTCAATTTTTTTCATCCCATCTGATTGGCTTTCACTTGATTCAATTTGATTCAATTTTTTTCATCCCATCTGATTTGCTTTCACTTGATTCACTTTGATTCAATTTGATTCATCCCATCTGATTGGACCCACCTTGATGGGATATGGGATAGTTTGATCTGATTTGTGTTTGATTTGAATGGCTTGATTGATTGGATCAATCCTAATCATGGCATTTGCTTGGATGGGCTTGAGCCTCCTTTCGGCGCAGCTTCAGGGCTGGGGAAGTAGCGCCTGCTTATCCTCAGGGCTTGACGGGCAGTTAATGATTCCACCGCACGAGCACAAGAGGGCAATCAATGCTGCTCAGTATCCGGTAGGACTTCCTGGCTGCTGCTTTGTAATCGGGACGCTGGACCCGGTTTCCAGCTGATGTAGCTCCCCACCAATAGATCCGAGCCATCTCCAAAAACAAAAAAAAAGAAAAAAAAAAAGGTGAACAAAAGCTTTCAGCAGCATTTGTTTCTCTTTCCTTCCATTTCTTTTCAATTTTTAATTCATAATAACTGTGTCACACCGTTCAGCTAGCTCAACTCAATGGTGTTAGTGGGACATAGCCCCCTGTCACTCACACGCTGCGTGCTGCAGCTCTCTCTCTCTCTCTCTCTCTCTCTCTCTCTCTCTCTCTCTCTCTCTCTCTCTCTCTCTCTCTCTCTC